ATGCTATAGACATAACTGCGTCTTATAAATCCAAATGAAATACAATAGAAGGGGAAATAATATAAGGTGAGCGGTATCGATTGATAATTGCTATTAGAAAGAACAGGAAGCTCCTGTTCGTATTCTATTGTGTAAATGTGGTGTACGTCTAAGTTTTGTGTGTGTGCATTTTACATGTTTGTTAATTTTAAAAAAAATAAAAAAAAAAAAGAAATTAAGAGTTTTAATATTGTTATGTGAATAAAATTACCCAGACAGTACGATGTTCACTAAGCACTTATTATATACAAAGAGAAAATATATTTTAAATTTTTTTTTTAAAAAAAAATTCTGGTGCTTTGCAACCAACTCATGTTTATGACGGTTGCGTTGTCCCGGGGTTATGGCATCACCTTTGGAGACCACCTGACAAGCAAAGTCAATGGGGGAAGCCAGATTCATTCTTAACAACCCCACGAGCCGCTTAACTGTCGATTGGCTTAACCGTGATGAGAGGTCGTAAAATGGAGCACGGTTCACTTTATGACTGTCTTTTTTTACGACAGAAATGTCGAGTTCAGTTGTGGTCACAGGTTGAAGGCTGCTTGTATTCCAGAGTGGAGGTAAAGTTAAGCTTAAGTTGTACAGAAGATTTTTGAAAAGAGCAATAATGATGTTTGTTTTCATTTGTCTTGCCTGCAGCTCGTCCTTGGACTAGCCAGTTAACAGAATATACAGGATTTTCCCTTGAAGAGCTGGTTCCCTGTGTGCTGAGCCTCCACAAGAAATGGTAAATGTTTGAAATACAAGGGGGAGAGAGAGCGAGAGAGAGAAAGAAAGAAAGAAAGAAAGAAAGAAAGAAAGAAAGAAAGAAAGAAGAAAAGGGGACATTGACTTCCAATTCTTCCTAGCACAGCACAAGATAAACACACTCCAAGCTCCATGATTGCTCAGTGGCTAAGGAGTTGAGCTAGTCAATCAGAAAGGTTGGCAATTCGGCAGTTCGAATCCCTAGCGCTGTGTAACTCCTATTACTTGTCCCAGCTTCTGCCAACTTAGCAGTTCGAAAGCACGTAAAAAATGCAAGTAGAAAAATAGGAACCACTTTTGGTGAAAAGGTAACCGCTCTGTGCGCCTTCGTTGTTTAGTCATGCCGGCCACATGACCACGGAGACGTCTTCGGATAGCGCTGGCTCTTCGGCTTTGAAATGGAGATAAGCACCGCCCCCTAGAGTGCCCCATATCAGTTTGACAGACAAACAGCTGGAGCCTGTTCCCAGTGTGAGCATGCACAGAGTTGACAGATGAAGGGAACAGCTAAAGAACAGGGGTCGACTTGAGAGTAAGGCCACAGGTGGACAATGAATGGCCCCTCCCAGAGGAAATAAAAGAGGAATGAAAGGGGAATGGAGCTTGCAGGAGACAACTAGTTGGCTTAATTGGCTCGTGACTCTCCGAGACTCCTTACCAGGTTTTGCAGATATCAGCCTGGCAGCTCTCCAAGCCAGAGAAGGTCTGTGACTGTAAATCCTCCTTTGAAAGACTTTGCTGGAGGTGAATGAGCAGAATTCACAGTCAATTAATAAACGGGTTTTTTGCTCCCTCACAAGGAATTTGCTTCATGCTCGGGAAGCCTCAGTCAGAACAGTTGCCTAGTTTAGGTCATGCTCAGAGACCACCAAGGACCCCCCACTCAAGAGCTGATCTCGATGTGGATCCTTCCTGCTGGTAGAATCGCAAAGGGGATCATATCGGGCCGAAATGATAACCACGTTACCTGGGAACAGGGCAGGCATCATTCCCTGAAGATCCTAGGCCAGGTAATGTTAAGTTCTGATACCCGGGGCTGTTTCAGAGATTCACCGAGATGGTTCCCTGTTTTTCTCTTCCCAGCTTCCATGAAGATGCTCCCAAAGATTATAGGCAGGTATCCCTGACTGCTGTGAAGCAACGGTTTGAGGATAAGCGCTACGAAGAAATTGGAAAAGAGGAGGTAGGCTAAATCAAGAATCAGAGGGAGCGATTTTTCCCCCCACTTTGTCATCTTAAAGCTATATGGTGTATAATGTTTGCCAGCAAAAATGGAGCCCTTGGGCTGCAGGAGGCTGTTGCAGCCAAAAACAGGGTTTGGGAGGCGGGGTGCACATCTGTCTCTCCCCCCTCAGTTGAGCTCCGTTTTTATTAGCAGAGGGCTAGCAAAACAAACTCAAAACAAAACAAGGGGAAATGTTTCCCCTTTTGCTTTGGAGCATGCAAGAAGGGGAAGAGGAAAGAAAAAGAAGGGAAGATGGGCAGAGAGCAAGGAAGGAAAAATAAGGAAAGGGGGGGGGAAGGAAGGAAGAAGGAAGTCTGTGGGAAGTCTGTTGTTGGGATGAAGAAAAGACGCAGAGAGGTAGGAAGAAGCTTAATGGGAAGGCACCCCAAATAGCTCATGGGGAGCTCCCTTTTATTGTCATAAAACAGTTTATGTGGCAGAAACTGATTCATTGATCAAAGCACATTTGTACTGATTGGATTAGCTTAGACCAGTGGTTCCCAAACTTGGCAACTTTAAGACTTGTGGACTTCAACTCCTAGAATTCTCCAGCCAGCTCTGCTGTAGAAATTGATTACTGCTCCACCAAGAAGCCCCCTTAAAAGAGTGGTTACCACAATAAAGCAGAAGTATTGGATTGAAATTGGCAGCACATTTTACAAAGGAGTTCTGACCCGGATGGGGTAACCTCGGTGCACTGCCTTTCTTTTTTTTGCCTCAGTATTAACAAGATTGAAGATTTTGCTGCTTCTTGTTTAGGAGGTTCATTCCATTCCCTTTTTCCTCCCAACTTCATATTTTGTTGGCACTGGAAACTTTTAGTGGCTTTTTTGTGAAGTAGATTTTAATTTCTCCATTAATCCGTTAGGGTGTTTTTTGTTTTTTGTTTTTAAAAAAAGAGAAACTGTCATCTGCTGGCTGGAGAATTCTGGGAGTTGAAGTCCACAAGTCTTAAAGTTGCCAAGTTTGGGAACCACTGGCTTAGACAAAGTCCAAATTATGGTTGAGAAGGTTAAATGGACAGCTCATGGTTTGTTGTTGCAAGCGATGGAATGTGCCTACATGCCAAATCTCATGTCTCACATTTATTAATCATTAAGGATCATTGTGCTGACAGTTGCATTCCTCAGCAGTGGTTTGCCAGCTAATGAGAAAAGCAAACATCCCCCACAGAAATCCTGCCTTAACACTTGGCCACCACAGGTGCCCCCACCGACATGAGTGACGTTGAGCTGGCCATGCCCACTCTAGCCATGCCTACCCCAGCCACGCACACCCTCCCTGAAGTCAAATAACTCTGATTCGGCACTCAATGAGAAGTAGTTTAAGTTTAATAAACTTATATGCTGCCCAATTTAGGATTTAGGATT